TAGATGATCTGCTCAGGTCCCTTCCGACCCTAGAAACTATGAAACTTAACGTATCACTAAACTATACACCATTTCTCAAAAGATGTCTATGCACTTCAGTCACTAGGAGTACAGAGATAAGTTGATTAGCAGTGCCGATTTCTCATTTTTCAGAAGGTCGGCAGCTCGTTTGCAGCATGCACAATGGGGGGTGCTCAGAATGGGCGTTACTGAAACATCCAAGCACTCCTAGTGGCAAACAACAGATATAAATGTGTACATTCATTTTGAAACATGCGGCTGTATGATACAAGCAGGTACATTACATTTACCTTCTGCATTTTACAAGAGCAAGTATGTCTTTGGGTGTCCTTTAACCATACAAAATAACAATATTTTGAATTACTCTTGAACAAGAATCTTTAATCTGCGCCTCTATCCTTTTAGGGGCTATTTAGAGTTGGGAGTGTAGTGGATTTTTTGCAAAAAGAAGCAAAAAGCAGCCTAGCATTTTTCCTAAACTTGCAATGAGCTATAATCTCCATTTAGTTCAGTCTGGTCAGGTGAATATGTATGTTTTCAGGGTGTTGTGACAATACAGTGCACTGGAAAATATTGTCTCTCTGAAGTAATCCTTCTTCTCAGGCTGTGCTGAAGACCTTGGATCAAGTCTAACCCCCAATTCTCCTGAACATTAATTGGTTCTTTCCTTTCTCCTTCCCCAAACTTAGAGTCCCAAGACATGTGCGAAAATAGTTTTTATGCTCAGTGCGATGTTTTTATGAAGTCTAAAGAAAATGTATAATACATCTGAAAGCAGTTACTATATCTTGATGCAGCAGAGAGGTACTTAGCCATGTTAGCCTGAAGTCATAGTATCTGATGAAATAACCTGTTGCTTATGAAAGCTTATGCCTCTCTGCATTAATTAGTCTATAAGGTGTCACTCTGCCTTACCCGATACAGCATGTTAACAGCAAACATTTTCATAATTGATCTATTAACTTCTAGCTGAACACTTGCATTTGAGACATTTTCTGTTACTGCTTCATTTTGTTTGTAATGTGTATCAGTGATCACAAGATGTCAGTGTCTACATTTTGCAAAAGCAGATGTTAGCTTTGTTCACCTTTTGGAGATAATGAAAGTGTTGTGCTTCCGACTGGATTGAGAATTAGGATGTTCAGAACTATGAAAAGGGCTTCAGGAAATTTAACCATCATACTTCTATCTGGAAAGGTGGCCATTCCAAAATGTTAGGCAAGTTTGAAGTTAATTGCATTTTAGAATGAAGAGGGTATTGTGCATAATTTAGTCCAAAGCAAAGAGATTGCAGTGGGGAGTATGGACAGGTAATGGGGTGACTAGAGGCCAGAGTGCTGATAAAGGAGAGACATGGGGTGGGAAGCCGGGGTTGTCACTAGAGAAGGAGTACTGTAAGTGAGGGAGACCGAGGTAGAGATTCTGGGAATAAACTGGCTAAGCAGGGAAACAGGGACTGGGGCAAAAGGCCTTAGGAATAGAGGCTGCGGCAGAACTCTATTTCGCTTGTGCACAATCAAAGTGTGGCTTGAGACTAGCATTACCTGACTAAGTTGTGGGAGTGCTTGTTACCCCCACTGAGCATGTAAGTGCCCCCATTATAGGAATAGAGAGATGTCCGTGTATCTCTGGAGGGTGATTTTGTGCATATAATGGGTGCAATCCACATGCCCAAGGTGGGTATCAATCTCTCCTACATGTCAGCAACAGAAAATGGGACTGTGATGAGAAGCTGGGATGAACCAGAGACAGGACCAAGATAGAGACAGGTTGGTACAAGGCATCTCAACTTGAGCACCCAGAATTAACAGATCTTGTGACCTTAAACTCCTTGTGCTTCAGTTCCTAGCTGTAAAGCGAAGATAAAATAGCCCTTCATCTCACACAGGTGTTGCAGAAATAATTTCACTAATGTTTAAGAACATTCAGGCACTGTGGTGATGAGTAATATAGGAAAAGCCAAGAAGGAAAATAATAATTCTGTTTTCAGAGCAGCATTTGAATAGCGTGCAATAAATATGTAAGGATTATATAAATAAATGAAGGATTCTGTGGAGAAAATAATACTTGATTAGGTAATTAAAGACTGAATTATTATGAAGGAGATGCACAAGAGAGCTGAATTAAAGCTGTACAGGTGGCCTTAATTTTGTGAAGTGCCTGACTTCGTAGTATTAGTAATGTTTTAATATTGCTTTCCACATGTAATTGTACATATAGTTTAAGTTCCTTTCTAATGGATGCTGCTGTAGTAGTCGTTTGATATAGTGTGGTGGAATAGCTACACTGGCGTCAAAATCTGAGACCAGATTCTGCAGAAATATTTTCTAAAATACACACAATGCAATCATAAATGTAAAAATGTTTCTCACTAACATTTAAAAAACATTCTGTGTATTGCCATAAGGCCTCATGTCTTTCAGTCATTTTAACAATAAGTTGGTTGGCCTTAGCAGTGTTACCTGAGTAAAAGTGGTACCCCAAGGGAGCCAGCAGCAGTCAGGACTTGAATGCAGAAGCCCTTGTCCCTGTCCCAAGTCCTGCACCATTTAAAAATATTTGCAGGATGATGGTCAATTATCTATCTAGCAGTCCCACTGGCATGCATTACTTTTGGGACATGTAAAACCTGTGCATTTTCTACAAATAATAATAATAAAAATGTTTATGTTTTGCAGTACAAGTCTTCTAGAAAGAGTTCAAGTGGAAATGAAAATGATGAGGTGAGACACGACGGTGGTATAAAATACTTCAACCAAGACATTATTTGTTTGCATTGTAGTACCACTAAGCAAGCCCAGACACAGCCCGGGAACAGGTTGATGAGCAGGGTGTAAACGCCACAGGAAGGCTGTCCTTGCCCCAAAGAGCTTGCAGCCTACTTAGAACACAGGAGAGATATAGATATATATAAAATACCACCTGCCATAGACACTGCGCACGGGCACCTGAGTAAAGTAGATGACATGGTTGTTCTAAGGAAGGGCCATTTCTTTGTGCCTCTCTCATTATACTGTTGTACAGTGGCTGTCTGCATGCCATAATGCTCATCCCAAATGCATTTCCCAAATGCATTTGCAAGTCTGCAATGTAAAAGCTAAGAGTTAACATTAATTTTAAACATTGTTTTTCCTGTCTTCATTTTTTGTGTCTTCTCTTCCACTTGGTTTCTTGTTGCAAACATTTACAGTGAGACTACTGCTAAACTGTAATAATGACTTTACCTTCAACAATATAAAACATTGTGAAGCACTGCTTTTGATTACTATAGCAGTTATCATTTCAACAGTCGCTCAACTTTTAAGGGGGTGAGAGAATTAGTAGATGCATTAATTTTTCTGTTGTCCACAACAAACTACAGTCCAGTAATACAGCTTGATTTAAATCCTGTATCTTCGTTAAACAAAATAGATAGCGACTAGCTCTAGTGTTATACAAGTTTAAATAATATTTATTTGTAGATAAGTGGGGGCTTTGTGATTTAAATACTTTTACAATTAAAAGTGCAAGAGATTAAAGAGGGATGGGTTTATCATTTAAAGTGAAGTAATTTAATTATGAAATGTTCGATGTGAATATATGAAAATAAGTAATATAGACCTGTATTTTTCTTAGGAAGAATTCAAATTAAATACTTTACAGCAAGAAAAACACTTTTGTCAAAGTATTGTTGCTAAAAATATGCAATATGTGATTGACTGGCATGTTGTTAATTGCGAGTGGATTCCACCATATTTAAGAGAAATGTTACCTGTGTTATGCATGCATGTAGTCATTGTCATAACTTCATATTTTACCTATTTAAATCATAATTTTCTTTTTATAATTTCATCTCTGATTTCTTTTTAGCAAGACAGTGATAATACTAATGTGTCTCCACAGTCTCCTGTATCATCTGAGGTACAAGTTTGTGTTTTTTGGTTTGTTTTTTTTTTCTTTCAGGGAACATTTTTTGTGTGCACTAATTTGTTTTCACCATACAAAAATAGGTGGCTCTCAGACAAATCAGAAAATGTACTTAGTGGGCTTTCCTTTGAAGAGATTTGAAACCTATATGCATGTGCCTTCATTTAAAAGTCAGATATAAAAAGGAATCAGTTGTATAAAAGAAAGATCACTGGATCTTTTTGATTAATTGATGTACAAGAAAGAAACGTTTGGTTTTTTGCCTCACTTATTCTGGCTGAGAGAAAGCAAAGTTGCCGGGCTGAAAAGGGGCAGCGTCCAGGTGGTCTAGTGTTTAGAGAGTTGTAAACACCAGTTGTGATTTAAAACAGTGTCCATCTGTACACGATCCAGTGTTGCCAGGTCTTTTTCTGAGTCAGAGTTTCATCTCCCACATGTCTGGTTGCCTGATGTATGCCTTAGCCTGGCTTCCTGGTTGATTTTTAAGAAGGAAAATGCATGTGGCCTGATTGTGATGTTTCCCTTGCTGCCGGTCGCATTGCAAACCTCTGCCGAGAAGAACAGAAACTCATAAATCTACTATCAGCTAGGTATCATGGAGTGGGGAGTCAGGAAAGCGTTTACATGGCTGAGGGTGTTCCCCACCACCCTGGTAATGGAGGACTTGAAGTTTCCCTCCTCCAGCTCTAGGGATGGGAGAGGGCCATGTCCCGCACTTGAAAATACCTTTTGTCTTATAAAGAAATAAAAGGGGAGTCGCTCCTGGGCCTGCTTCCCCTGCTGGAAGTGCAGAAGGGAGCCTGTGCCACACCTTGGCCTGCACTGACACTGCAGAGGGGAGGCAGAAGTAGTGGCTGCCTGCCTGCAAGCTACCACTACTTATTCTTCATGATAATCTGGGTTGTTATCCCTGAAACTGCTGAGTGGGTTTTGTCCAGAACTGGGGTGAGACACATTTGGATTGTGAGCTTTGGTAGCAAGACATATACACATCAGTTCATAGATGCATAGGTGTTAGGGGCTGGAAGGGACCTTACAAGATCATCGGGTCCAGCCCCCCTGCACTTGGGCAGGAAGGACTGCTCCCTTGAATGGTTTTTTGAATACCTGTTTCTTCTGTTTTTTTCAGATGTAATGGAATAGGTCTGTCCACTCAACAGTGCTCTTTAAGGGATTCTTTTCTGTGGCTTAATCTGCATACATGCATATGGCACTGAATTAACTGAACTTTTTTTCAAATAATTGAGTTAAATCCATGTCAATCTGTATGTGGTTACACTTCGGTTATTTCCAGCTGACTTAGAATTAGAAGTAGGTTCATACAGAGATCTCAGTTGCTTTAAACAGAGACTTCAGTTAAACTGGTGTCACTTTTCTGCCTCGAGAAGACTGTCTCTCCTTGCCAGATGGCGAGCAAACGTACATCACTGCCTTATTATAGCACCCCTCTAGGATTTAAGGCTAGGATACTACTAGAAAGATGCTAGAACTCTGTTCTTTCGTTGAAGCAAAGGGAAGTTTTGTACTCTGAACATGGAAAATGGTCAGTGTTGTCTTGATGGGAACAGAAGTTTTAGATGTAATTTTTTAATTCTTTTAATTCCCTTAAACATTGGAGGAAAAATGACAATGCATTTTTTTTTTTTAACAGGATTATGAAAGGACAGACAGTAACTCTCATGGTCCATTTGGTCTCAAACCTAGGTCAGGTAAGCTGCTGTTGTTTAGTACTGCATAGCAGAGCAGATGCCGACTCTCCCCACTATAAGGGAGGGAAAGGACAACAGATGCATGAACTGGGACAAGTGGAAGGGGAGAGCAAGTCCCCACAGGACGGTTAACACAGTGCTATGGGGAGAGGCATGGCCAGCTGCTCGGAGAAGCTTCTCACTGAAGGGGCCCTCAGTTGCAAAGTAATTTGCTACCCCATTCATTTCTCTTCTCAGATGTAAGCCGTCCTGTGCAGACAGAGAATGAAAGTGCACACTTGTCCCTGGGAATACTGTAGAGAGGCAAGGACCACTCGCTCTCCATTGAATAGATGCATAGAGTAGGGAGCTGCCTGTGGTTCTTTGGCTCAGCACATCTCATGCCCCTTTCACTTCCAAGCAGCTGCTCACTCTCCTTGCAGGGGGATTGCTTTAGATAATGCCAGCTGGCACAGGTGCTAATTTCCCTGAAGCCTAGAAAGCAGGGGGCATGCCTTTAGTTAATACTTCATTTCTTAACTTTGTACTTAGTCATATACTGCACTGCATGTGGTATATAAACTATATGCAATGCCACTGGGAAATGCTACCATAGTATCAACCAAAAAAAAGGAGATTTCAGCTGGGAGCTTCTTTTCAAAAACTCAATAGGAAAAGCTTGTCCTGCTTCTACACACTTTGGGCTCATGTTTATCTTTTGCAAACTTAAAAAATGCATCTTTCCTTGTTACTAACTTATGGATCCTCAGTACAAGACTATACCCAGCAAAGGTCACTCACATATGGTATCTCTTTGGACTTTACACTCTCTCCTAACATGGTGTAATTATAAAATGATTGGTATTATTCCAGCTTTTGAAAAGGTTCTCCTTTAAATTGTTCCAGAGACTTGGGAGTTAAGAGCGTACTTTATTTTCATATAATGTATGACTGCCATAAATGTAAAAAAGCATAACCTTGACATTCTGAACAAGTAATTTAAAATGTCTATTATTGAGTATGACTGGAAGCTTTCCTGCTAAAAAAACTAAAGTAAGAACTGAATGAGAGAGGCTGTGCAAGGATTAAACTTTGAACATATTGTCCTAATTTACCACACATTAAAATATTCCAAAATATATGTGCCAAGCAGAGTTGCACATCTAAATCAACTCTCTCTGAATGGTTTCTAGGCACAAATGTGCATGTGTGAAGAATTATCTAGTCTAGTTTTTTCTGCATGTTTGACTGAACTAGTAGCTCATTTAGCTGATATATTAGGGGAGTCACCTTATGATAGTGATACATCTTATGATATATAACATAGCTGTCTTAACATCTCAGTAGAGTTTTTCTCTTGTTTGTCGTTACTGATGGACTCTTCTTCATAAGGCTTTTTTTTTCCAAATACTGAAAAATAACTATACTAATTTTTCACAGCTTTCAGTCGTACATCGCGGCAGGACTATGGAGCAGTGGACCCTGGATTTACAATGAGAAGGAAAATGGAGCATTTAAGGGAAGAAAGGGAACAAATAAGACAGCTTCGCAATGTATGTGCTATAATTTTCTATATAGGTTCAGTCTTGAGACCAGACCTTCCCTTTACTCTTCCCTACCAGTAAAACCTTTGTTGTGAAGCCTTTCTATGACAGAGATTATCACGGCTGTGCAAGAGCCATCCCCACAGCAACATAGTTCCACCCTAAGAGCTTGCATATGACAAATCTTCTCAAGGAGGAAATGGCACGAAAGAAAACGAGTGTATGGTTGGTAGGCCTCTCTAGCATGCCAGTTTGCACATTGTGGTTGGGTCTTTAGAAGCAATGCAGGGCAAACAGTGCATTGCAAGAGAAGGCTCCCCTAGTACAGTACCTCTTGGCTAGCGGTTTGGCTTGTACCTGACCTTGGACTTTGAACACTTGCCTCATCAAATGTGGGTGGAAGGTAGGACTAATTGCAGCATGCAGCACTAAGTTGGCACTGAGTGTATCTAACTGCATGTTAGGTCAACATGTCACTATTTCCCTGGCTTTATTCTCCCAATCATATTTGTAAATTAATTTTATAAAACAGCACTCATTTGGTTAAACAGCTGTTAAATAACAATGAGGTACAATAGAAGTTTAGGATTTTTGATGACCTGTTTTAGTTATATTTTTCACTTCTCCAGCTCCTAGTTGGACACTATTACTTATCACATGGGTGACATCCCCCACTGCCCAAACTTTTCCAGCACGTGGAGAGATCCCTGTGTTATTTCCTATCATCTGTGTGTACGTATTTTTGGAGGTGACCTCTGCAAAGCAAATAAATCACTTGCTTTTCACAAGGGCAAGATTGATCCCCATTGTGTCTGTCCCTGCAGAGGCAGTTGACCCAGCTTTGCAACCTGACATTTATACCAGCAAATTCTGGACTCCCATGGGGTGTTCAGTTCATCTTTTTATGATCTTTGATAACATCTGCAAGTTAGATGTCTTGGCTCTCCACATTTGTGTATGGAGCCTTATTGTGGCTGCTGGCTGAGTTCTTCCCTTAGTACTTCTTGGCCTTTTGACTAAGACCAAGTGTCGTGTCCTTGAAGATACACCATTAAAAGTTAAGGAAAAACAGGTTAATTGTATGAAAACGGAATACTTGCAATCAATTATAATGTGTTAGCATAAAAATATTGCAATCTTAAACTTAGTTTAAATTAAAATCGCTTTGATAGTGAGAACAGTTTTTCTGTTCTCTTCTTCCTTTTTCTTTTTCTGTCAATAGAATCTTGAATCAAGGTTAAAAGTGATGTTGCCGGATGACATTGGAGCAGCATTGATGGATGGTGTGGTTCTTTGCCATTTAGCCAATCACATAAGGCCACGTTCTGTTGCCAGCATTCATGTACCATCACCAGCAGTGGTAGGTCAGCTATATCTTTATAGTCATAGAGTGGTAGGAAATTCAGGGTGGAAGGGACCTCAGGTCACATCCAGTCCAACCCCCTGCTTAAAACAGGACCAGCCCCAACTACATTATCCCAGACAAAGCTTTGTCTAGCTGGGTCTTAAACCTCCCCCAAGGATGGAGACTCCACCACCTCTCTGGGTAACCTGTTGCAGAACTTCACCACCCTCATGAAAAAGTTTTTCCTAATATGCAACCTGAACTTCCCTTGCTGCAACATGAGCCCATTGCTCCTTGTTCATCATCTGCCCCCACTGAGAACAGTCCAGCTCTATCCTCTTTACAGCCCCCCTGCAGGGACTTGAAGGCTGCTATCAGATCCCCCCTCGGTCTCTGTTCTCCAGACTAAATCAGCCCAGTTCCCTCAGCCTCTCCTCACCAGTCATGTCCTCCAGCCCCACAACCATTTTCATTGCCCTTCACTGGACTCAACCCAGTTTGTCCACATCCTTCCTATAGTGGGGGGCCATGTCTGAAGTGAGGACACTCTTGGAATTCCATGCTAGATAGTTGTAAGTGGTCTCTACTATGTTGTATATATACATTATCAGTTTTTGTGTTCTTTCCAGACCCATAAAACAAGTACTCTGTCCTAGATTAAAGGTCATTGGTTTAGAAGCCTGTGTTATCTACAGAGGCTTTACGAAATTACTATTGTAACTTAGTTTCTGGTCCAACAACTGTTACAGAATTTGCACCATAATTTCAAAAACCTGTCTTAAAGAAGTAAGTGAGCATCTAACATCCTGTTTTACAGCCTAAACTCAGCATGGCGAAGTGCCGAAGAAATGTTGAAAACTTTTTGGATGCTTGTAAAAAATTGGGCGTCCCCCAGGTACACAGATTACTTGACTGACTAATATGCTTGTTGATACTGACTGCAGGCAAGGTTTAGCAGCTTTGTAGGAGTTTAGATTTCTGACCATTGGGGAGTCAACTGGTTATAATAGAGGACTCAGGACACCTGGGTCTTACATCTACCTCTTTCTCTGAGCAGCCATCTAAGCTTTGCCAAATCATTTTACCTCTCTGGGCTTCAAAATGGTGCTGAACATTGCATTTGGCTTTGAGAGCTCCTGATGAAAAGCTCTGTATAAGAGCTAGGCATCACTGGTATCAGAAACCTTTAGTTTAGTAGCATATTACAGTATGAATGGCAGGTCTTCCTGCCTAGGAAAAACCCTACATTAAAATGAGAGATTCAGTGCACCTTTTGATGTGCAGATGGAGCTGTCCAGAAGAAGCTTGTGATCCCTTAACTGTACTGCAACAGCTCTGGTCCTTGGTACTGCTTTCACATTGGCCAGGTTGATTCTTTTACCTCCTCCACCAGTGGAATCTCATTAAAAGAGAAATTTCCTTCCCGTGTAGAGGTGAGAAACTCCAAAGATTTGTACTTGGAGTAGCCAGATGATTGTTGGACTGGTTACTGTTTCTTCCTGCCCCAAAGGAGCAAGGGCACTGTTTCAGGTGGAACCATAGTTGGGAATTATGGTGCTTTGCTTCTGCACTGCCCAGCATCTGCCCCCCAGATCAGCTGAGGTCCTGCAGAAGTCATGTTCCCAAAGATTTTGCTATCGATTCCAACCCCACGCGTTTATAAATAATTTTAAAAAAGGCAAGGAGTTAATGCTAGATGGTAGGCACTTATTTTATCTGATACTGTGGGAAAGGGGAAACTCTGTGGAGGGTGATTTTGTTGCCAAGTTTCCCCATCCCTGGCAGTGCAGAGACCTGTACAGAGCTTCCACGTGTTGGGTGGAGGAACGTGACCATGAATCCAGAACTGCCCTGCCAGCCTGTTTTGTTGCATCCGTTTATGAAGGCAGATAGAAACCTCTGTTCCTGAATCTTTAGTTAATTAAGATTAGTACAGGCCTTAATTTAATGGAGGGGAGGGGATTTCTGATAGACTTGGGGGTCAGAATTTCAGGATGAATGTTCTTCAGTTTTATAGAAATGTTTTCCTTGATTTGCTAATTATTTATATTTTTATTTGCATTTTTCATACTGCAGCTCTCAGAATTTCTGTGGAATATAATTAGATTCAGCATACCTTCTCACACTCAAAGTTGCCATAGAAACGTGTGCAAGTGTAAAGAGGAGTGATTTCTGTACAAAATGCTAATTAGAAGCAATGAAGTATTTGAGTGCTTGAGTCTTGTAAGAATATATTGTGTACCCAAGCTGGGCCAAAGGATTGCAATATGATGCATGTGTTGCTTTATTTTTCAGGAAAGGCTTTGCTTGCCTCACCATATTTTGGAAGAAAGGGGTCTAGTGAAAGTTGGTCTCACTGTTCAGGCTCTGCTTGAACTGCCTACATCTAAGGCATCTCATCTTTCCTCTGTGTAACGTGACTTTTGGAAACCAGACAAACCAACCTTTGATCTGTTGATTTGGATTGCTCCTGGGCGATTCAGCTTTCTGAATGGGCACATCCAAGCCATCAAAAAGTCATTTCTGCCCAGATACTTTAGACAGAGCCTTATTTTGGAGTTAAGCATGAACCTTGATGTGAAGCAGACAATTACCTGAATATGTTGGTATTCTGATTTCTTTCTGGGTTTTTTTTAAAGCGTGGATGCACAAGAGATTTTGACAGCATCAGGTTCACTTTCCAGGTAACATAAGTTCCAAGTTTCCCATTAATGTTTCATGGTGTTACATTTAAAAATTTAATTTTTTGATACCTTCAGTTGACTTAAAGCCTTCCTGTAAAACATTTAAATCAATTGTTTGGTTTAAATATACAGTTCAAAATACAGCGACTGTATGATGGTGAAAATATGAGTGACTGATCGCATTTAATCCATTTTAATGTTTCAAGTAGCGCTGCCTTTTGGGTTCTTGATTTCTTGCACTCTTGTAATTTATACATTTTTAACATCACCAGTATTTAGTTGGACATAAGTTCATTACACAAAAGAGTATACAGTAAAAAGGACAGATTTCATGGGGGGTTTTCCAGTCTTCTAGGTTGGTGCCAAAATATTTTTTCAGTTGTACTGTAGATTGTTTACATGTGAAGTGCCTGTGTAATTGATGACTCTTAATAGTCTTAAACATTTTTGCAATTTCTTTGTCTGAAATAGATACAATGGGAATTTTTAGATATTTTAATAGTTTTTTGTAAGGTCAGTAATATGTGAAGATATAAATGATGCTTCACATTTTTGATGTTGGATGTTTTAAGTTTGTTGCACAATTTAATTACTTATTATGGTGTCTGATGATGGGAAATAATGTAAATACATTTTATTTATGCTATTTAATTTGATAATATCTAATCATTTCTGTTTTAATGTATTGTTGGACAAAAATTGTCATTTTTTAATTATTTTCCTTGTTTGGGACAAACAATAACATACACAGTAAATAAGATGTATAAGGACTAGTGATGCATACATAGTAATCATTAAGGACATTTTGATAGAAATGCCAAAATCTCAGGTTTATACTGTGACTTTCAGGATTTTACATTGTGTTGTTCCTGACTTCACATTACATTTTTAAAACAAGAATCTTCATAAATTAGTTTAAAAAAAATCAGACTAGGAATCTTTATATTCTTTGCTGTTGAGAGAACTTGCTGGTTTGGGATTTATTGTGAAAATTAGCCACTTGCATGGCATAGCATATAATCAGGTTGCACCTGGTGGTTCTCTACAGTTAACTCTGCCAAGAACACTCTTGGGGGTCAGATATAAAAAAAATAAATAAATCCCCACAATGGAAGTTTTCTCAACTACTTGTTTTAAATATTTGTTTGGTTTTTACACTTGTTCAGATTGGTATATTGCTTACAAGGGTCTAAGCAGCAGAGTTGACTTCCCCAAAAGCAAATTCAGGTGTGTCGGATACTTCATTTTAGATGTGTGTGTGTGTGTGTGTGTGCGCGCGCGCGCGCGCGCGTGCATTCATTTACTTTTCTAGTGAACATATAGGTCACTCCAAAATGTTTGTTGAGTTCTGGGTATGTCACAGATTTTATACTTTTGGACTAGGTTACTTTAGGTGAAAAGAAAAAAAACCTAGTGTGCCAAACAAAATACGTAACAAAAAATGGTTCTGCTATTGCCAGTTGATATACCTTATTTAATTTCATTTGGCAAAGGAGCAAATGTTCTTTTATTCTGTCCGTCTTTCCTTTCAATGGACCAATAAGCCAGTCAAAAGAAATTTTAAAAAAATATGCTGGCTACAAGATTTAGAAGGTTACGTTATTCTCAGACTCTTTATTAAACTGAAATCCATTGAAATAAAAGTGATTCATGTGCTATAATTAAAATATGCTATTGTAAATACATTGTAGTTCTCAAAAGTATGGCTTACTGAAAAAACTCGTGCCCTCTGCAAAATTATAGGTATAAAAATACATTTAAAATATCAGCTAAGCGTGTAGTTGTATGGGGAAAGTGAAATAGTCTCAGTGTAATATCAGCCACTAAAATGTAGCCTTATTTATCCTTTCTCTGAATAAATTAATTTTAACCGTTTACCTTAAATTATTTTGAAAATGAGCTCTTTTAAAAATGTACCAGTAAAGTTGTTCTCATTTCATGTAAATGGAACATAATTATTTCAGTATTTTAAAAGAACAAGCCAAGCTTAGTTCAATAAGGAGACTTTTGTTTTATTATATATGCTACTTTGGAAGAGCTGAAGAATTAGTTTATCATTCAAAAGAGAAAATATATTCTATAGCAGCTCTTTGCCCTCTGGACAACAAGCATACAATTTTCTGTTCCAGTATGTTAGCCATGGGTTTGCTGGTTGCTTATCTGATTTGGACTGTGAGGACATAAGCATTGGACTCTTGTGCTTTAGATATTTCCACTGGTCTTATATTTATTTTTTTGCTGGACCAATATTTCCCCTGTAAAGCTTGCTCAGTTCACTGAACCTTGCACTTAGTACCCCTTTGAATGAACTGTTTTGTTGATCGCTTGAAACAAGTTTTCCCAGTCTAAACAGTTTATCATCATGTGGCAGAAGATGATAGAAGTTTATGCCCACAGGGAAAAATTAAGAAGTCTGGCTCTGTGTTGTGTGCCAGTTGTTTAACAATTATGTAAAAGTTAGTGCATATTTCTGTAAGTATTTTAAAAAATGACTTGGAAAAGAAATTTAAACATTAAGTCATTGTGGATTATCTCCCTATATGTGTGATAAACAGTAAAATGCTAGTTAATGTTGATTAAGGCTATCAGTTAATTTTTTTACAAGTAGCATCTTCATGACTATATTCTGCAAGTGGCCTTGCCTGCCCACTGTCTGCAGATACGATTCTGGCCCTATTCCATGTCCTCTGGCAAGAAGAGCCCACTGGATGAGCCAAGATGTGCACGTAAGCCAAGATTGTTCCTCCAGTATTTTCTTCTTCACCATGGAGAAAAACGTTCTGGCTTTCTAGTATATATGGGAGCGCGAGCCTGGGAAATCTCTGGGGAGAGGACCCCCACGTCTAGACAGCTCTCGACTCCTCAGCATGCTCCCCTTTCCTGTCCCTGCTGCAGCATGCAATAGGCAGACAAGGTTATTTGGGTAAATGTGCGGGGGTCTTGGTTGTAGCCATTTGGCATTGTCTGCCTATGTTCTTAGACCAACATGGCTGCAACCAGCACCCCCAACAGCATTCAATAGAAACTCCACAACTGCAGCCCCAGTGAGCAAACGAATGGCTGGGATCACTGGATCTCTCAAGCGAGCCCTGGATTTTCATGCCAAAAGCAAAGACATGCACAGGAAACCGTGTGTGAGGCCTGTGATTAGAAGTGCTGGCTCCCAGAGGAGAGCGACTGTGGGAAGATGCTCCTCATCTCTAGCGAGAACCGTGGTAGTGGGGTTTTGTATGTATGTTTAAAGTGCTGTTCCTTAGAGTCTCCAGTCTTATGAAGAGCCATCAGTCATTTTCTTATATGTTTTTGCCTTCTGATGACCTCGGGAGACTGTCCTTCCCTTTACTTGTGGGAAATGCTCTGTGGCATTTACTGAAGTGCAGGCAATACCTTGCCTCTCCTTAGTCCTCCTTAAGTGAGCTCTGGGGTTTCCATTTCATTTAGGATGTCGTGCAGTTACTCAGAGTTTGGCCTTGATGTGTGGGGGCTTCAGAAGTGTGCAGCAGTGGCTCCTGTTGTAGCTTATTGCAGTTTTTTCCCCCTGATTTGGCTGGGAGCAGAGTTATTCCAAGACTTAAGAATTTTTGGAAATCTCCCTCGAGTTTTGATTATTGATCTGTTCCAGGAGCTAGAGTTCTTCAGTACTGAGCCCCTTAATCAGAGTGACTGCAGTCAGATAAAGCTATGGCCTGGTGCATTTGACTCATTTCTGTGTGACTGAACATACCAAAATATTTCCTTGGGTGGGGTGCGGAGAAGTGGAATATTCTCCTGTATCAGTTCATGATATTTTGTTGGGTGTAGTGTGTCCCATGGGAGTGTTCTTTTCTTTGAACAGTATAGTACATCTTGCTTAGATGGCTTCTGCAGGCACATCTACATGTGTGCTTTAATGCACATTAAATCGTCATGCACATTAAAAGTCCTGTCTTGTTAATGCGCATTAGGTGTCAGTGAAAAACTGCTCTTTTGTTAATGCACATTGACGTAAGCCAGTACACATTTTCCTAGGACCTCAATGGAGGGTGCATCTACACATGCACTTTAATGTGCATTAGCCTGTTTTAATGCACATTAAAGCATCACTAGAAAAAATGCTGTTTAGTTAATGCACATTAAAATAGGCTGATGCGCATTAAACGTCACTTAAACTGTGGAGCATTTATACACATACCTTTTTGTCCTGCAATGCGCTGGAGATCCCCCACTCAGAGCGGACTGTGCTGCGTGCAGCTGTACAAGTGGCAAAATGCGTATCAGCACTCAGAAAATGGCAGTGGAGTGCTTTTGATGCAGTTTAGTTCAAGAGCGTGCCACTGCCACTTTCTCATCACTGATGCCCATTTTGCTGCTTATACAACTGTAAGCATCGCAGCTCTGGGAGCTTTTCAAAGTGCCTGGCACTGCAGCACCTGCATGTGTAAAAATGCCCGTGCTCTTAGTTAATGTGCATTAAGACAGGCTAATGAGCATTGTCTTAGTACCTCACAATGGAGGTACTAGATTTAATGCACATTAACTAAAGTGCATTAATGTACTTGTAGATGCGCCCAGCACGTGTTAAATAGTGGCATTAAAGTGCTCAGTGGACAGCTGAGTGACTTGGAACTGTCTCAGAGATGCATTTACTGAGTTATCTTATTTGTTTATACACAAATAATTAAAGGCTAGAGCTAGACTAATTAGACTTGTGACTTTGGGCATAGCAGACAGTCAGCCTCAGTTGTGTCCAGGTTTCCAAAACTTTCCCGTAATGTAGCTAAGTCTCTAAAATGCCACACAAAATTCAGGAGCAAATTGAGACATTAGTTGCAAGAGTTTAACTATGACATGAATCAGAAGTGATTCTGAGCAAAATCCTGGTTTTATTGAGAAGTCAGTTGAAGTTTTGTTACTGACTGCTGGGGCAGGATTTCACCCTGCCATTTATATAAGGAAACTGGAAGGTACCGGCACTTGAGATCAGAACTAGGCTTTGTAAGATGTAATGACCCTGGGTGTAAAAGTCTCCAGTAGCACTTTTTAGCTAATGCCACCGTAAATTAGCCTGTTTTATAAAAAGTACTGAGTTATTCATGTTTGGTCAGCCTCAGGGAATCCTAAAATAGGTACACTTCTACCTTTATTCAGTAAATGCTTTAAGATGTTATGTGCTGTATGCAGCGTGAAGGGTAAGAGACCAACGACACCTGCAGAAGGTCAACCTTCATACTACAGCTAAGTAGCTTTAGTAAATGGTGTGGGTGAGAACTACCAGCAGCTCTTTTGCGACACTGAAAACTATTTCTATTAATTATGATGTGACGTGGGGGCAGCTCTTCTTTGCCAAATTTTGAGCAAATGCAGGGGCCAAATTCAAGCCATAAACGTGTTCAGTCTTGATTGTGTTTTTGCCAAGATAGGGGTTGTCTTCATTATGTTCCACATTTCTCCCCCACGTTTAAGACGGTGCATTGAAATGCATCATTTCAAACCTTATAAGGACCATTCAGGCAGAGCAAATGCAAATGAATGCCAGCCTCTGACTTCTCCTTGTAGTAATAATGCTAGCGTGTAATACAGGGTGTGCATTTTATCCTAGTGTCCCCCCCCCCCCCCCCCCCCCCCCCCCCCCCCCCCCCCCCCCCCCCCCCCCCCCCCCCCCCCCCC